TGTCCAGTTGTGCTGCTGCAGATGCACCATGGCGTTTCAGTGTGGTGTAGTGGTTAAGAGCGGTAGTCTCCTGATCTGGGGAACCGGGTTCGCGTCTCCGCTCCTCCACATGCAGCTGCTGGGTGACCTTGGGCCAGTCACACTGCTGTGAAGTCTCTCAGCCCCACTCACCTCACAGAGTGTTTGTTGTGGGGGAGGAAGGGAAAGGAGAATGTTAGCCACTTTGAGACTCCTGAAGGGGAGTGAAAGGCGGGATATCAAATCCAAACTCCTCTTCTCTCTGCAATCATCCCTGCAGTCACTTCTCCTGGTCCCTGCCATGGATGCACAACCTGACTGTCTGTCTCCAGGCACTGCGGTTGTCTGCAAGGGATTCCCACACGGCAGGGTTGATGCTGCTTCATGCCATGTTTGCAGACATCTTTGTAACACAGAGTTGGTCTGCCAACAGGCCTACTCCCTGAAGCCAGCTCCCTGCAGAGCATGTCCTTGGGGATCCTGCCACCTTCCGTTCTGTGTACATGACTAAGCCAGTGAAGACTTGTTGAGATAAAAGTGCGAATGTTCTGGGAATGTGGGCTTAAAAAGAGAAAACAAACTATGCTTGATTTTGCACTTTGCAAAAGTTCTGCAAAGTTCAGGTATCAAATTGCATAGAAATTAATGGCAAAGGTGCTGCCTGCCGCCTTCCAGAAATAAAACGCATCACGGTCTGCATTTCATTTCAGTGCCACTTAATGTTGAATTCAAACGTTTGTCTTTCACTTTCCTCTGAACTTCTATTTCGTCAGCATTTTTTTAAAAAAGTCCTTGCACGTGTTGCTGCAGCAGCACTCCATTCCTGCAGTAGCTGAAGAGGCAATGGGAGACCCATAAATCGTCCACTAACTGTGCTGCAGGCAGTGCGTAGTAACTGCTGCACAAGCTATATTGCTCAATGCAGTGTGTGAGCCAGAGGTTAACTTAGCACTTGGCTGTCATGAGCTAAGAGTTATGGGTAGTAATTTAAGAGCGCCTTGAAATCAAAATGGGCATTGCAGTGTTAAAAGCAATTCCAGGAAAGGAACTTGCTGTAATAGACCTAGAGACATAAAAGTGAGAATCTGCGTAAACATGGGAGTGACGTTGCACACTGTTCAGTGCTGCCAAGAAGTTAAAAATGAAATCCTCTTATTAAATGGATAATACGTCTAGTCTAAAATTGCCTTGCAACAATAATGACATGGGTAAAAGGTAAAGGACCACTGGACAGTTAAGTCCAGTCAAAGGCGACTATGAGGTGCAGCACTCATCTCAATTCAGACCAAGGAAGCCGGCGTTTGTCCACAGCTTTCCAGGTCATGTGGCCAGCATGACTAAACTGCTTCTGGCGCAACAGGACATGATGACGAATGCCAGAGAGCATGGAAATGCCGTTTACTTTCCCATCACAGCAATACCTATATATCTATTTGCACTGGTATGCTTTCGAACTGCTAGATTGGCAGGAGCTGGGAAAGAGCAATGGGAGCTCACCCCGTTGTGCAGATTTGAACCCCTAACCTTCCAGTCGGCAAACCCATGAAGCTCAGTGGTTTAGACCACAGCGCCACCCGCTCCCCTGAATAATGTAGGGTACAATTCAGCCCAAGTAAATACCTTTGAATCTCATTGATTGCAGTTGGGAAGAGTTAATTTGTAGTATTTTTGATAAAGAAATCCCCACACAGTCCCCATGCAGGATTTGTTCATAAAAATAAAAGGGTGGTGCACAAAATATTTTATTTTGCTTGAGGAAAAAGCCATTGAACAATGTTCTTGCATTCTCTGATCATTTACAGCATGTTGGGTGGGGTGGGTTTTGCAACACTTCTCTATCAATTAAGGAGAAAAGAAATTGCATTTGGAAATTATATTTCCCTTGTAAAAGAACATAGAAGAGAAGGTTGGCTACTGTCCACTGTCATCCCTCCGTCTCTGCAAGTGGAATGAAATGCATCCTGTCAGTTCCTCTCCACTCCTCCTCCTCTAAATTTTTTTATCCCCAGGAAGTGCAAAATATGGAGATTCCAAGGACTACTAGAAAATGGAAAAGGGCAGTAAAGCAGAGGGGGAAACAGCTCTTTAAGGTCCCAGGGATTCCTGCTGCGAATACAATTCATCAATCACTGCATTGGCTTCACTCATTGGCTAAAAACATGGATAGGTGGGAGCAGCCAGGTTGGGTCGTTTCACCAAAATAATAATAATAATAATAATAATAATAATAATAATAATAATAATAATAATAATAGTAGAAGAGTGCTTGCACAATTTGCTTGATTTTCTTTCTAGGAGGGCTATTTTTTATTTTTTTTTTTTTTAATGATAGCTCAGAGTTTGAATCCTCTGTGGACACTGGCAAGTGCAGTGTTGGTGACTTCTGCTCAGTAGCAGAGTCTGCACAAATTGCGAACTTCTTCCTGACTGCCAATCCATTCGTAGCAGAAATGGCACTGTCCAGGCACAAGAGGGAGGTATTGGCAAGTTCAGGGGAGCCCTGATGCTTGCAGAAATAGCAAGCAGAATGGGAAAAGGTGGAAACCCCTAACAGAAGAGACCCCCCAAAACAACACTGAACATACTATGTGTGAGAGGAGGTTTTTTGGGGGGGCGGGGTGCCATGTGGGGAGTTGGATATCTGGAACCCTGAAAAGGAGTGCTTTACACTGCAACATTTTGTTGCAGGACTAACTTGCAGTTTTCTAATGCTGAAAACTTTGGGTGTGAATATTGCCCCTTTGGATGGCTTCTCCAAATAGCAGTGTGTTTAACTTTAATTGGACAGCTATTAAGTCCATCAGTGAAAGAATTACGGTAGTTTGATATAGCATAATCTCTAGTTTTCCCATTTTGTTCACTGGAATCTACAGCTCTTAAAAGCTTCAATTCAGCTTACCTAAGGACCAAACTACACAGTACATTAAAAGCATGCTTGTTGCTACCAGTTTTCTTCTGTAGGAAACCAGCTGGTAGGTCATAGTCCAGTTCCTGAGTTTTCTTTAGAGGCCTTCTATTGATTTCATGCTTCAAATTGCTACCCTCTCCCCTAAATTTGTTAATTACAGCAAAAGAAGACCTTCAGGGTCCCTAACTCTCTCTGAATAGCCTTATTGTTGCTGAATGAACCTGAGGTCTGCTAATTTATGCAAAATGTTCTTGATTTCTGTGTGCGTAGCAGGTGCCTAGGTTACGTTATCACTCTGGAGATCTGTCACGCTGCAGCCAGAGAGTATTACTTCTATTACCTATCTGCCAGCAGTAAGGCTTACATAACTTTGTTTTTAGAACATAGGAAACTGCCTGGTCCTGATGAGTCACACCATCAAGTTTGTGTTAATAAATTTAAATAAGTGTAAAAAAAAATTCCCCACCATTCATACTTTGTGATCCATCTTATATTCTTATATATACAGTGTATATGTATGTGTGTGTGTATGTTTAGGGACGCTTTTAATACTGGATGAATCATTGTATTTTAATATTCTGCTGGAAGCCACCCAGAGTGGCTGGGGAAAGCCAGCCAGATGGGTGGGGTATAAATAATAAATTATTATTATTAAATAATAATTTATTATCACCATCATCATCATTTCAGACTAAACCTTTTTAGGCTTTTTAGTTTACCAGTTGTGTAAATTGAAGTACTATTGGAGAGTTTTTAATCTTTTTAAGCCAAACAAATCCAGTTTACAGTACCATTACTTCAGTTTCCATTAAAACAATAGTCGGCAGGTGTTAATTTAGGATAAAGTATTAATCCAGTGAACCAGGCAAGCAGGCCCGGTATTATTAGAAAAGCAGCGTTGCTGTTGCTTCTTGTCTTCAAAGTTCTGTGCCCATTGTGTGGTGACGCTATTTTTAAATCAAACAACCTGGATTATGATGTGTGTTTTGTGCTGATATCATGTGTTCTCTCGCACACCCTTTTTCTGTGTAATGGACAACTCCCACTCTTTCAAGAACTCCAATTGGCTTGACGGAGAGAGGCTGTGCCCTATAAATGTCTCTCCCCTCCTCTTTTCCTTCTTGCTTTGCAAAGCCACTGGCAAAAAAGAGGAAGGTAAGATGAGAAAAAAATCTTATTGTATTGGGAAGAAGGAAGACACTGTTTAAAGATTTGCTTTTTAGAATTTTTTTCCCCAGTTGCATTTAGAATAAATGAATTACCGGTATCTCTAGTTTGATGGCTTCTCTTAGATGCTAAATGGGACCCAATCAGTATGTTGCAGTCAGCAGAATTTTAATAACCAGACACAGATATCATTTTTCCGTCATGTGCTAAGGCTTAGCACTATTACTGATCTACATGAAAAGTAGTCGTTTCCATCAGTTGGTGATGTGAGGATTTATGTAAGTTCCGAGAGTATAACGTGTGTTCTTGTATTCATGTATATCAACTTTAGAAGGTGTGTAGCTTTCAACCTTATTGAAGCACTTTAATGCCCTTTTCTATTCTAATCTTTTAATACCCCAGTATAATGTAATCAATTATGAACTGTGTGAGTGTCAAGAATGGATTTCTGACTGGATGCTGAGAGAGTGAAATAGCCATCATTAGCTCTTGTCCTCTCCAAGGTCCCAGGGCAGGATACAACAATCTCAGGGCAGGATACAACAGAATGTTAAAAACAGTTTAAACAACACAGAAACAAAGCAAGTCCTAAAAATATGAAGCTCAGGTATCAAAAGCTAGAGTAAAGAGATGTGTAGGATCTTAGGTCAGTAGGGCATTAGAACTCTGCTTTTTACAACAAAGAAAAACATGGGATAAGAGCAACCTTTCTTGAAAGTCACATTCAGAGGCATAATGGATGGAAATTAGACTTCCAGGACACCCAGTGCACAAAAAGACGAGCAACGTTCTGATAAGGCTGGAAAACCTGGAGTCGTCGTGCAAGTGCTTTGCCTATACAGAAAAAGAAACCAGTATGCATTTGCAAACAGATGAAGGAGGTCAAATGATCAATTTCTTTTAACAGCTGAGTGTACTAAGGTATTAAGAACTCCAGACTGACAGCCATCATGGGGAAGAACTTGGCACCCCAAGATGACTGTGAAGCTTTCGCCCTAGCCTGACTTCAGCTGTCAATTACCCTTTACTTCTAGACTGGCCATCTAGCTAGATGGAACACTTGTTGACTAGGTAAAGGTAAAAAGGTAAAGGACCCCTGGACAGCTATATCTTTGCAGTGTGTGTATGTGGGGGGGGAATATTTAGTATTTATTATTTTTTAAATGTGTCAATAAGTGTGTTGTCTGGCCTTCTACCTCCCCACCCCCAAAATGTATGTGTCTCACTAATTCATTTCTGGCTGAGCTTTATCAACTGTAAGTTTTGAGCAGTTATTAAAGTGAAGTTAGGCTGAGCAAGATTCTACTTTGTGGTTGGGTGTACAGGAAAATGGTATATATTTTGTAATAGGTGTGTTCTCTCTAATCGAATCCCTATTTCTTTGCATGGTTGTGAGGGAAGGTACTGCAAATTTAATGAATTGCATGACCCTGCAGTCAGACTTCTTAAGCCCTCTGCACTAGATTTATAGACAACAGGTGTAGCTAGGACCTTGCTGATTCTGGCTGCCTTCAAGAAGCTGTAACATTAGGTAGCAAGCCAGCAGGAATGGTACTTAATACTGTGTTGTGCGTGCGTTTTTACTTGGAAGTTTCAAAAGTATGCCTCATGCTGAACAGGAATTTATGATAGAAATATGATTAGTATGCAATATGATTTCTATTTTTACTGCAGTGATGTATTATGATTTTTTAAAAAAGTGTCTATGCTATTATATTACATCAGTGAAGATTTATTATTAGTCTTCATTCTGGTCTTAACATTATACAGTGGTCTCTTACAATCGAATCTTAGCTGATTCATAAAATCATAGAATTGTAGAGTTGGAAGGGACCACAAGGGTCATCTAGTCTAACCCCTGCAGTGCAGGAATCTTTTGCCCAATATGGAGCTCAAACCCACAACCCTGAGATTAAGAGTCTCATGCTCTACTGAGTTAAGTAGGGTGTGCAGAACTTGATGGTTGCGGAAAAGCATGGTATAAATTTAATGTAGTCCCTGAAATAATATGTTCTTCTGTAGCATCTGTTCATTTCAATGGGTCTTGTGCAAGAGAAGTTCATTGCATGCCGTGTTGTTAATATAGTGTAGACCAGAGCTTTCCAAACTGTGTGTCGCGACACATTAATGTGCTGGCTGCAGTGTGTAGGTGTGTTGCACAAATGCTCCCCGTGCTCTTCCCAGGGCTGGAAAGAGGTTAGCTTAACCTGTGGTTTGCTAGTAAAACTGAATTACTGTGTGGCGAAATGATGCATGTGTAAAAAGTGCGTCACCAACATGAAAAAATTTGGAAAGCCCTCGTGTCGACTTTGACCGTGTAGACCAGCAGACATGACAATTTAGCTGTCAGAATTGACAATTTGTTTTATAATAAACAGTTATAACAAGGGAGTCCCCTCAAGCAAATTGCCATATTGGGATAGCAAATTTTTGCTGGCCCTGTGTTGATTCAGGCACTTCCCTTTCTGACAGTGGCATGCCAGTGTTCTGAGCGCATAGTAAACTGTATTGCTGAGTCGAACTGTTCCAACTACATGAGTGTTGTCTGTGACTAGCAGCATTTTCCTATGGTTTCCTGGAAAGACTCCTATGTGAAGATGCAAAGCACATGCTAAGAACATAAGAGTTGCCATCTTGGATCAAAACCAAAAGCCCATCTAGTTCTGCAGTCTGTTCCCGTGGGAAGTCAACAAGGAGGACCTGAATGTACTAACACTCTCCCTAACAACTGTTATTCAGAGACATGCTGCCTTCAATACAGGACATAGATCAGGCATCCCCAACCTTCAGCCCTCCAGATGTTTTGGCCTACAGTTCCCATGATCCCTAGCTAACAGGACCAGTGGTCAAACATAATGGGAATTGTAGTCCAAAACATCTGGAGGGCTGAAGGTTGGGGATGCCTGACATAGATACTAGCCATGACTGCTGTGTACTATCGACCAGCAGCTCTACCATTGAGCGTATATGAGTACAGTGGTACCTCGGATTAAGTACTTAATTCGTTCCGGAGGTCCGTACTTAACCTGAACCTGTTCTTAACCTGAAGCACCACTTTAGCTAATGGGGCCTCCTGCTGCTGCCGCTCCTCCGGAGCACGATTTCTGTTCTCATCCTGAAGCAAAGTTCTTAACCTGAAGCACTATTTCTGGGTTAGCAGAGTCTGTAACCTGAAGCGTATGTAACCTGAAGCTTATGTAACCCGAGGTACCACTGTACTCCCGTTGTAGCTAATGAATCGTTGGGTAATTCAGGCAGAGCTGGTTTTTCTGAAGCGCTTATGAAAAATGACTGCTTGTGGAACCTCTTCTTAGTGACCGTGAAATTTCCTTTTCTTCCAACAGCCTTGAAAAATGCCAGCCATGAGGAGCTTGAGCCGAGCTGTCAAGCAGGTGCTGCAGAAACCTGGCTGTGGCTGTCAAGTTGCTGTTGTGCCGGTTAGGTGTCTTGGTTTCTCACCACGGCAGGTAGCCTCAGACGCCAGCTTTCACTCGGTGTCGTTCTCAGAATCGGACCATCCACGGGTGTTAATTACAGGTCAGTCTGCTGTTAAGCAGTACTCCGCTGTTGATTTCCTCTGTTCTGTTTGTATTTCTTTGTATCAGACCACATGTATTGATAGTCATCTGATTATATGTAAATACTGGTTTAGAGAAACACTGTGAACCCTCTTGGAGCCCTCATCCCCTTGTACACATAGGCCTGTCCATTCTACCTCACTCCAGACCACTGAGAACAGGAGCATTGCTCCAAATGTAGCCCTGGAAAAAGAGGGTTCAGCTTCCATCTGATTATTGTAGATGATGGATCATCTGCCACTTCTTTCTTGAGCCAAACCCTCTTGAGATGCCAACGTTTCGTGAGGTAGTAATTTTGAGGTTTGAGGATTAGTACGCTACAGATGTGCAGGTCAAAGTCACTAAAGTAAATAACCCATCTGTAGCTTCCTTTGATGGCTTCTGTTAATTGAGTTTATGTCTAAAGTTCTCAGTCTCTGCAGAACATAAAGTATTTTTATTTGTGTTGTTATAAGGCATAACATTTCAGGTGTTGTAAACATTTAATCTTGCTTTGTAGGGGGACTTGGCCAACTTGGAGTAGGACTTGCTAAGCTCTTGAGGTAAGCTGCAATTTCTATTTACAACTAGAAGTTCTGGTGCCCTTTTTGAAGATATAGGTTAAGATTTCCCATGAATGATCACATTTACTTACAGTTAGAAGGTGAAAATCAGGCACATCTCATTCACAATCCTAAAGTTGTGCCTGGGGAAGAAAAGCAGGGAGGCAATGGAGATTGCATTGTACACTGATCTGGGTTGATCACAAAACTTGAATCCATATGCCATTGGCTGATGTTTTCTGATGCAATAGGGTTCTCGATGCTGCTATTTCAGAGTGTAGGAACTTTGGGCTAGAAGGCACAGCACCTAGCAAAACTAGTTCTGTTCAAAGAACCTATCGTGCTAATTAAAATGATTCAGGAGAGCTGTTCTGAGTCTAATCTTTCTGTCTTCTCTAGAAAACGCTTTGGAAAGAACAATGTAATCCTATCAGATATTAGGAAGCCCCCTGATAATGTCTTTCATAGCGGTAAGTGACCAGATTATGATGAGAGAGCCACACTGAGCCACACTATGATTACATTCCAGCAGCAGTGATCCTCTTTGGCAAAGATCTTGAAAACTTAGTTATATGCTATATCTCACCTTCCTGTTTCTTCCAGTTCACCTGAATTTGCTGACCTAAACTGCAGTGTTAATAAAAAAAAAGAGGCATTTGGCATATTAAAATAATGGTGTATGTATTTTGAAATAATCTTTGCCCAACAATTTTCATATTTTCCATAAAACAAAGTCAACATGTATGCAGTATAGCTAGAAAGGGTTTGTGTTTATGCCAGTGCAACAGCAATTGAATTGACTCGCTTATTTCTTTCTGAACATAAATGGTAAACGAACCGAAGGACACCTGTACATTAAATGTATGCCATATCTAATCATGCTGAACAGGCAACAGTGTGATGTTCTGCTTTGAAGAGAGGCGATAGAGTTGAAAAGTGGAATGAAGGGACATCCTAATTTGTGGTGTACTCACTCATTCCACTGCTGCTTTTGGTTCACAGGATATTGCAGTACTTCAAAACCTTGTAAATCCTATTTGACAGTAGCCAATGGCAGGAAAAATAAATGAGTGTGTATTCCAGTGGAAAGCAATGTTTTTATCACTCTTTTACCTTTCTTAAAAGCTATTGTCTGGTTCCAGCTTAGGGCATGTTGTTAACCTTTATCATAGTGACCCCAGGCATGTAAGAAAATCCCGTGTGGTATTCCATGTATGCAGCTCTATATCTTAACCAACTCTTCAGTGGTTATACAAGCAGTTTTGACTGACCAACTTAGTGCTAGCTATAGATTCCTTGCATGCTTATCACAGCACACTAAAAAATGAAGTAACCAGTTTAACCAGGCTACTAGTTTTGTAAATGGCGTGGTGGGAAACTTTTTCCTCATATGCCTGATACATTTTTCTCTAAATCTCGCCATGCAGTTTGCCTTGTCAGTGGTATTTTCCTGGTACAGAAGGAAACTGATCAAAGCAAAAATATCCTCCAAATAGACGCTCAAACAAAGCAAAATGCTTGCATCAAATGAGATCTGGCTCTGTGAACAGTGCATAGCTTTTCAAGAGCTGGAGATGCTGTAGTTAAGTCATCCTTAGCTTTGTTGCGCATGCACTCAACTTTTTTTATACTTTGAAGGTCTCTGGCGAAATCAGTTTTGCAGTTCTTGTGGTGTTTCAAACAGCGCCTTGGTCAACTGAAACGAGTGTCAAATTTGGCCTAGCTGCTGTGCAGTAGCTGTATGTATGTTTGGGGGTGACTGCAATGGACACCTGCTGATTAATGTGCACAACTGATGGTGCACAACATCATGGTCAAAACATTTTTGCACCTGTTTGTAATGGATCATTCTGTATGTACATGAAAGGATGCACACACTTGTGTATGAAGTTTGTTACACATGCAGTGTTCTGCAGAGAACATGAGAATGGAATTCCTTGAGATTCTGTTTTCCATCAACAGGCTTTTGTCCAAAAGGCAGGTGACCCTCTCCAGTTTGTAGGTTCTTACGCTGCCTCTTACCTTCATGCTTTCACCTTCCTCCTCCTCTTAGGTCCTTTCATCTACTCTGACATTTTGGACTACAAGAACCTCCGTGAGATAGTGGTGAACAACCGGATTACGTGGCTGTTTCATTACAGCGCTTTGCTCAGTGCCGTTGGAGAAGCCAATGTCCCTTTGGCAAGATCTGTGAATATCACTGGTAGATGTCAGCTTGCTTCATATTGTTTGTTTAGCTGTCCCTGCCTCCCTCTGGGGAGTGTTAACGCTTGGTTTCAAGCCTGATAACTCTGTTTGCTGTTCCCAGGATTGCACAACATTCTTGATATTGCTGCTGAGCACAGCTTGAGACTCTTTGTCCCCAGCACAATTGGAGCATTTGGACCCACGTCCCCTAGGAACCCAACTCCCGATCTCTGCATCCAGAGGCCAAGGACAATCTACGGTGTTTCCAAAGTTCATGCTGAGCTCATGGGAGAAGTAAGAGTTGCCCTTTCCTTATGCAGATGCCTCCAGCCCCCTTCAATATGTGGCAGTGGTTCCCCTTTCATGAGCATTTGTCTGTGGTGTTGTGGATGGACAGCAAATGCTGCTAAAAGCGCAGAACATTGCTTAAAGTTGCTTAAATGAATTTCTTGTATTTTGTTTCTAAGTTACCTGTACCAATGGCATCTTAACCCAAGAGAATTCATCAAATGCCAGTACAGTCGTACCTTGGATCTCAAAGGCCTTGGCTCCCAAACAAATCAAAACCCGGAAGTGAGTGTTCCGGTTTTCGGAAGCTGTACATCCTCCGTGCTTTCTGATTGGCTGCAGGAAGTTCCTGCAGCCAATTGGAAGCCGCGCTTTGGTTTCCAAATGTTTTGGAAATCGAACAGACTTCTGGAACAGATTCCATTCGACTTCCAAGGTACGACTGTATGAAAATGCACTGTAGAACATTCCCTCTCTCCTCCCACTCCATAAATTCTGGACTGACACTCGTAACTTTTCAGGCCTTTTTCCATTCTATGAGAGAGAATGTAAACAACAAACTCTTGTATTACCAATGACACTAGCTATGTTTATGAAGGTACATGAGGCCACCACCTTGCTGAAGTTAAGCAGGTCTGGCTCTGGTTGGTTTGTGGATGGACCGCCTGCCTGAGAACCACATGTACATGCAAGTCCCGCTTTCTGGACACAATGCGTTCCCAGTAAATGGTTCGCTAGGCAAGTGTTTGCATAGCAAGCTGACGATTTCCAATATTTCCTATGGGAACATTTCTAATCCGTGATTTGTCCAGTCTCTCTCCCCGCTCCCTTCATGGTTTCTTCCTGAAATGGCTGCAGCCAAACAGCAAAGAAGAGACAAGGGAAAAACTGATTAGTCCAGTCTCTCTGCATGGTTGTTTCCCTCCCATATTGCTGCCACAATTTAGCATAACATAAACAAGTAAGAAAGTGAGAAAAACTCCATCTATTCTGATAACTGAATCTGTGGTGTGCATAGCGAGGTTTAGGTGCCAGTTCTTCATGTTGGATAATTGCTTTTTCACATCATGAGCATTCGGAAAGTGGGACCTGCATCTACGCTGCTTTGGGTTCCTTGATGGAGGAAAGGCAGGGATATAAATTTAATTAATTAAACAAAAATAGCTGATAGGTTGTGAAATGCTTTCATCAGCCACAACTAATCTCTCAGTTTTGAAGGTGCCACAAGACTTTGTTGCAGCAAACGTCCCTTGTTTTCCTCCTAAAATCAGTCTGTTTCCCTAATTTCCTCTATAAACATTTTAAGAAGCCGCTAACACCAGGTAGCTAGAGTTGCTACTGTGGAAGAATCAGGAGCTAATTGTATCTTTTCTTTCCTTGTTCAGTATTACCATTACAGGTATGGACTAGACTTCCGGTGCCTAAGATACCCTGGCATTATCTCAGCTGATTCCCAGCCTGGCGGGGGAACAACTGGTAAGTTAGCCTATAAAGTTAGCCTATAAAATACAATAGGGATACTAAGAGGGAGGGGGAAATGGGGGTCTTGCCTTAGATCATGGCAGAACATTTCATGTGCCATAGGAGAAGGGAACAATGGAGGGAATTGGTATCTCTCACACATAAACACTCCAGCCGTTGTTTATCATCCTTTATTTCTTTCTCTAGTGCAGGAGTAGCCAATGTGATACCTTCTGTGGATTCCAACTCCCATTGGCCCCAGCCAGCATGGTCAGTGGCCAGAGTTAATGGGAAGTGTAGTCCACAATATCTGGAGGTCCTCATGTTAATAATAATAATAATTAATAATAATGTATTCCCCCATCCATCCTCAGCCACTCTGGGGATATTAAAAACACAATAAAAGATCAAACATTTAAAATGTCCCTAAACAGGGCTGCCTTCAGATGTCTTCTAAAAGTCAGATAGTTTATTTCCTTGATGCTTGACATCTGGTGGGAGAGCGTTCCACAGGGCGCGGGTGCCATTGCCGAGAAGGCCCTCTGCCTGGTTATCCTTGCCCTAGTCAGTAACTTTACTTGTTCTTCTCAACTGTTAGGGGAAACTGGTATGTAAGGGAAGATGAACATCAAGGAGAGAGAGGCATTCAGCAGCTCCTTCTTCACTGTGTGTGACAGAGATGGCCGTCTACTTGGATGGCTTTACAGTAGACAAATTCATGCTGCCAGTGGCTACTAGCCACGATGGCTATGCTTTGCTTCTACAGATGGAGGCAGAATGCATCCGAATACCAGTTATTGGAAACAGCAGGAAGAAAGAGTGCTCTTATTGCTTGGGTCCTGTTTGCCAGCTTCCTGTAGGTATCTGGCCAGCTACTGTTGTTGTTATTTAGTCATTTAATCATGTCCAACTCTTCATGACCCCATGGACCAGAGCACGCCAAGCACTCCTGTCTTCCACTGCCTCCCACAGTTGGGTCAAACTCATGTTGGTAGCTTTGAGAACACTGTCCCACCATCTCGTCCTCTGTCGTCCCCTTCTCCTTGTGCCCTCCATCTTTCCCAACATCAGGGTCTTTTCCAGGGAGTCTTCTCTTCTCATGAGGTGGCCAAAGTACTGGAGCCTCAGCTTCAGGATCTGTCCTTCCAGTGAGCACTCAGGGCTGCTTTCCTTCAGAATGGAGTGGTTTGATCTTCTTGCAGTCCATGGGACTCTCAAGAGTCTCCTCCAGCACCATAATTCAAAAGCATCAATTCTTCGGCGATCGGCCTTCTTTATGGTCCAGCTCTCACTTCCATATATCACTACTGGGAAAACCATAGCTTTAACTAGATGGACCTTTGTCGGCAAGCTGATGTCTCTGCTTTTTAAGATGCTGTCTAGGTTTGCCAGCTACTGTAAGATGGGCTAGTGGCCTCATCCGAAAGGCTCTTTTTATATTCTTACAGCTGCATTACCAGTTAGCATTGTTTAACTTTCCTCGTCTCCAGATTATGCCGTCCAAATCTTCCATGATGCGATGAAGACGGGCAAGTTCCAGTGCAACCTCAAACCAGATACCCGCCTCCCAATGATGTACATTGATGACTGCCTGAGAGCTACCTTGGAGATCATGGAAGCCCCTGCTGAAGGGCTGAGCATGAGGACATACAACATCAGCGCTTTGAGTTTTACTCCCGAGGAGCTGGTTCAAGAGGTCCAGAAGCATATTCCAGAACTTGAAGTTTCCTACAAAGTAGATGCTGTCAGACAAGCCATAGGTCAGTACTGGGCTCTGATCTTTCACTGCAATGTGTGTTCATCTTGTTGCTGGATCTTAAAATAGGCTAGATGTAGTTGAGTCTGGGTGTTCCTCTTGGCTCTATCCCATTGTTCCTTTTCATCATCATCATCATCATCATCATCATCATCATCATAATTTATTATTTATACCCCGCCCATCTGGCTGGGCTTCCCCAGCCACTCTGGGCGGCTTCCAACAAAGTACTAAAATACAGTAGTCTGTTAAACATTAAAAGCTTTCCTAAAGAGGGCTGCCTTCATATGTCTTCTAAAAGTCTGGTAGTTGTTGTTCTCTTTGACATCTGATGGGAGGGCGTTCCACAGGGCGGGTGCCACTACCGAGAAGGCCCTCTGCCTGGTTCCCTGTAACTTGGCTTCTCGCAGTGAGGGAACCGCCAGAAGGCCCTCGGCGCTGGACCTCAGTTTCCGGGCAGAATGACGGGGGTGGAGACGCTCCTTCATATGAATGGCACCGGGCTTTGGGCCAAGGCATGATAGATGTTAACTAGCCTTCACCAACCTGGTGCCTTCCAGAACTTTTGGACTATAACTTCCATTGGCCTCAGCCAACATGGCTGTAACCCACAACTTCTGAAGGCCGTCAGGTTGGTTAAGGCTGATCTAAGTAGTACTTAAAAGTTGCTAAGTGAAGGTGGGGAATGTGGATAGCAAGGCTGCGCCTGGAGAAACACTTTTCAGCTGGTAGACTCTTGTCAATTGGCATACAGTTGGCTCGGCAGATCCAAAGGTCTGACATTGTAACACATCTTGATAACAAGAGAGGAGTCTTACAGGTGGATTATGTCAGATTTTATCCATAGTGAGCAATGTAGGAGTCAGAGCAATCAGAGGAGCATTCATTCCCCTGCTAAGAAGAGTAGGTGGGTGGTGTTCTGCAGAGGTCTGGTGCTATATAGGCAATGGGGATGCTCAATTTGCTCTTGGGAGACAGGAAAGCATTAAAAGATGTACTGGGGTGTGTGGGAAGCAGAGCCTCAAAATGGTACGGCAAAAACCACTGGGTTTTATAAAATAGTAAAATACCATCATAAAATGGGCAACACATTCCAGTGAAAACCTTGCAGGGCCACCAGAATCTTGTCTTCCTCCCCGCACCCCAAAGGCAACATCTCTCAGTTAATGCCAGGTAAAAATTGCTTTATTTTGGGCCAAGTGGGGAAATGTGTGCATTTAAACCTAGGCAGAAGCTTTTCCTACTTCATGAAGGAGGTGACATTCAAATGAAGGAGGGAAGGCTGTGTTCTATAGACATTTACCATCACAATCAGACCTGCAAATAGCTTGTATATCATATATAGATCCCAGTGAAAGAAGGAAACTCCTCCCTTTGGAACATTATTTTTTGGTAAAGAGATGAGAGAAGATTTGTGCCCTCTCCCCTCCCTGATGCTTTCCTGTTTCAAAACTTCTCCCTCCTGAAGCTGCTGTTCCTTTTCTTTTTTCTTTTAGAAGTAGAAAAGCAAACCTGGGGTTTTTTTGGGGGGGGATGGGGAGAGCCACTGAAGTTATTGAATTAAGCATAAAGCGAGGAGGAATTTGCTTATGACACAATCTGTTTTGTCTTTCCCCCCCGTGCTATAGCTGACAGCTGGCCGATGATTTTTGACGACAGCAATGCTCGCCAAGATTGGGGATGGAAACACGATTATGATCTACCAGACCTGGTGAACACCATGTTCACCTTCCTCGACTCAACCCGCTCCATTTCCAGGGTTGCCCAGGTCAACTGACTCTCCAGGTGTGATGCAGCCTCAAGTGATCAGCTGGCAAGACCTGGGCAGAACCATACTGAGTGTTCATCTGTTTTGAAGTCTTGAAGCAGTACAGCACCAGAATACCATCTTCTAGGAAGGCTTGCTCATGTCTCCGTTCATCTTTCTTCCTGTTTGCCCCCCATCTCCTGTGCACCCACATAGATAATTTCAAAAGCACTTCTGGATGCTGTGTAGCTCCTGGGTTTCACAGAAAAACATCATTCCTGACTCCTAATGTGCAACTTGATTGCCACAGGCTCCAACAAATGTTCACAGGGACAGTCTCCTCTCCCTCTTGAGTTCCTCTTCCATGTGATCAAATATTTGGCTTAGTTACTGGATGATATTCTGTGGAATTGTATTCACATAGAGATATTACAGGCTCTCACTATTTGCACTTTCTGGAAACAATTGGGGATATTTCTGTTCTGATAGGCTGGATAAATGAGTCTTTACTTTCTCCTGTTTTCACCTTGTTTTAAATGTGTTTGCGTTCTTGACTTTTAAATTATTTTATGTGCACATCTCCTTGAGACCTTATTCCAGGTTGCAGTTGATACATTGATTGAGGGTCTTGAGGATGACATGTACACTGTGGTCTTAACCCTGAAGCTGCTACGATAATGGGAATAGACAGCGGGTGATCATTATGGGGAGAATGGACTCAATCTACAGGGTGAACAGGTCATCTGTGGGGCTCACCTTAAGCACACATTGCCGGTCAGCTGAGCGTCCAGTTGTGTTGATCCTGGGGTGCAATCTTAAAATAAACAAGTCTGCCCTTGCAAAATAAAGAGCAATGTTTATTCACTTCATCTTTTGGATAACATGGCTGCGGGTATAGGATGGTATACAGATTTAAGTGGTAGTAATAATAATAATGGCTGATGCCAACTCCAGGTGTTCTAGGCTGATGCAGATTATCTTCGCCATTTAGGGATGAAGATTTCCTTGAGAGTTAGAAATATAGTTATATTAGCATCTTTCACTTGACAATCCTTTTGGACCATGTCTGTAGGCTTGATATTTTAGACACTCAAAATATGGGGTGGGGAGAAGCTGGCATGGGAGAGGCATTTTTAACCCAACTGCATGTATTATCTTTCTCTCTTGCCCCTGCCACTGGTTCAGGGACACGATATGTTTCTGAATACAAGTTGCCAGGAAGCAGAAGCAGCAGGAAAGGGCTATGTCTCACCTGTAGGCTCTGGGGTCATCTGCTTGTCCACTGTTGAAAGTAAGATGCTGGACCACACAGATGTCTTTGGCCTGATCCAGCAGGCTTCCTGCATTCAGCATCTTCATATAAGAAGTACATAATGACACATGGGCTATCTACTGCAACCACCTCTCCCTTTCTCAGTTAAGTACCAGGATACACTTCTTTCATTCGTTTCTTACCCAAAATACTTTCATCTGAAAAAACTGTGTGTTGCCATGTTCAGATTTTGCCCATAATATTTACTGTTCCAAGAGAAATTTGAACTTCTGGTCAATTCTTTGTTGCCAAACAGTTCAAATTTTAAAAGATTTGGCCCAGTGGGTCTTACAAAGTTGAACTTGATCAAATGCGTTTTAGGGCTCCTCAAGATCTCAAGGGGTAACTCGCCAGCACCTGTCATTCTTGTTTTGCTTTCTCCATTTCCTTTAACTACATTCAATGAACAATATAAATAAGAAGCAGTAATTCACGAGCAAAATGTTTCCCAGTGTCCTTTATCCTGTGATGATGAGAGGGGAATAAGAGGAGGTGTCAAGAAGTCAAACATACCATCATGATCTATGTTAAGATTTGGGCTGTAGATGCAGTTACTATTCATATGAGGACACATTTAAGAGGGTTCTGTCATTTGGGTTTTGCCTCCAATGTGCAGTGCAACTAAATCCTGTTGGTTTACAGCCTGATGTATTTAGTTGGAAGTAAGCAAACCACCTCATTCTGCACCTTTCCAAGTTCTGCAGTTTTGTTTTAACAAAAATAAATTCCTGTTTCTGAGAAGAGCTTTGCTACTTGGCTTCTGTATCACTTATGTGCCAGTTTTTAGGATTTTGTCTTCTCTCTCCACTGCCCCCCCCCCAAATCTAGTGTAAGACATCAGTAATGGTTACTTGAATAAAATCCTAAATGCAAAGGTGACTGTGTTTGCTTCTATTTACCCTGCAACCCAGATGTTAACTAGAGTCACCTGCTACCAATGCTGTCTGCTTTACTTAATCTCTATAGCTGCCCATAGGTGAATATTCTCTTGGTGGTTTATAAGCAGAGCAACGCTAAGTTACACTATATTGAAATCAAAACAGGAATAACTTCCTGATAGGAAGAGCTGCTCAACATGGAGTGGACTCCCTCTGAAGGTACTGGACTCTACTTCATTGGAGGCTTTTAAGCAAGTTGGATGGGCATCTGTCAGGGGGCCTTCAGCTGCGATTGCAGGGGGTCAGACTAGATGACCCTTGGCATCCCTTGCATCACATCTAAGATATTCATGACTACAGACTTTACATATTGATCCTCAGCAAATTCAGTGTGTGGCTGCCTGCTGGGAAAGGCTTACCTGGGTCAAGTGTTCAGGCAGAATAATAATAATTTATTATTTATACCCCCCGCCCATCTGGCTGGGTTTCCCCAGCCACTCTGGGCAGCTCCCAACAGAATACAGTGGTAGCTCTGGTTGCGAATGGGATCCGTTCCGGAGGCCCGTTCGCAACATGAAAAGAGCGCAACCCACAGCGGCGAGTCTGCGCATGCACAGGTTGTGATTCGCCGCTTCTGCACATGCGTGTGATGCCATTTTGCACTTCTGTGCATGCACGAGTGGTGAAACCCAGAAGTAACCCTTTCCGGTACTTCTGGGTTGCCGCGGGACGTAACCTGAAAGAACGTAACATGAAGCAAACGTAACATGAGGTATGACTGTATTAAAATCACGATAAAGCATCAAACATTAAAAACTTCCCTAAACAGGGCTGCCTTCAGATGTCTTCTAAAAGTCAGATAGTAGTTTTATCTCCTTGACACCTGATGAGAGGGTGTTCCACAGGGCGGGAGCCACTACCGAGAAGGCCCTCTGCCTGGTTCCCTGTCACCTCACTTCGCGCACTTCGCGCACCTCACTTCGCGCACCTCACTGCCAGAAGGCCCTTGGAGCTGGACCTTTATATAAGGTCTCCACACTTGATTTCTCATTTGAAACATTTTTATTTTTGTAGTTTTTTTATAGTCCTTCATCCGTAACTTTAGGGGAACAACAAAAGGAACAGCACTTTAAAGGCTAAAAGCTTTGGTGCAGTAGCATCATTTGTGGTTATTCACCAAAATTTAGATGGTAATACATTTGGTAGCCTAGAGTACTACTGGACTATTGCCCCATTCCTGCTACTCTTTTGAAAAGGTAAAGGTATCCCTGACCATTAGGTCCAGTCGTGACTGACTCTGGGGTTGCGGCGCTCATCTCGCTTTATTGGCCGAGGGAGCCGGCATACAGCTTACGGGTCATGTGGCCAGCATGACTAAGCTGCTTCTGGCGAACCAGAGCAGCGCACAGAAACGCCATTTACCTTCCCGCCGGAGCAGTACCTATTTATCTACTTGCACTTTGATGTGCTTTCGAACTGTTAGGTTGGCAGCAGCAGGGACCGAGCAATGGGAGCTCACCCCGTCACGGGGATTCAAACCACTGGCCTTCTGATCAGCAAGTCCTAGGTTCTGTGGTTTAACCCACAGCGCCACCCGCGTCCCTTTTTAACACAGTACCAGGAGTAATTTACCCAAAACGATAAGGTGAGCTTGTGGCAGAAAGGGGGAATTTAAAGTTAGCTCTCTAGATCTAGGAGGCTGACATAGGTATGAAAAGAAATTGTGAGCCCCAGAAATAAATGACACGAGCATGCGCAGAGTGCACCTGTCCGACCAAATCTCAGTATCTATTAGGATGATACCACAACATCCATGGCTGGCCAAAAAAGAAATAGCTTTGAGGGCATCATTGAGGATCTCACCCCCTGTACTGTTCTGGGGGTTCCCTGACCCTCCAGAGCAGATTTGGGGGGGGGCTAGGCCAGAGGGAACCCCTACTGTGCTAGCACCAGTCCTTGTGCTGGTTTTTGCTGGTGGAATGTGGTAACTGAATCTGGCCCATCAAAATTAATGGACACTACCACTGTCATTGATTTCAGTGGGTCTGCTCTGAGTAACAGCTAGTTGAACACCACCCTCTGTGGCTAGCCAATAAATTTCTTTCCAAGTAAGTCAGACAAGAATATCTCTTGTTGGTTGTATAGTCTGGATAAGAGCAGCGCTGCAGGATCAGACTGAAAGTCCATCTAAACCAATTTTCTGATACCCAGTGTGGTCAGCCATTCCTGAAGCCGCAAGATGGTTTCCGTTCCAAATGAGTATTGCGTTGCTATGGAGCTGTGTGACCGTTGGTGGCAGCGAGACATTGGTTTACTCAGAATTCCAGTCTCGTAGTTGCGTCATCAGTTCAGAAGAACTGGAGTCTGAGAACATTTCTGTGTCCAGAGTTTGGGAACGACGAAAGCCAGGTGGTTTCAGGTAAGTTATTCTTATGCAGGACTGGTGTTTTCTAATAGCTGAAAACAGGCCAAGGATGTGGCTATTCAGTGACACTGTCTTCATTAAGGACCAGGGATGTGGAGAAAATCGCAAGATTCACCTTTCCTCTGTATCTGTAGCATCTGGAAGCAGCCCAATCTGTTTTGGAACTACTGTGTGTAACTCCAGTTCATTATTCAGATCTGAATCTGATCTGTTAAACCCAAAACTCTGTTTTGACCACATTGACTACAACGGGGAATCTAAAAATGGCTATATATTTTTACATAAGTGGGTGAAATTTGTAGGCAAAGAGTGGATCGAGACTGCCAAATTTGAGGCAGAATCCAAGCGAGTTTGGTCAAGTAACTTTTGGTTATTATTTTTTTAAAAAAACAGGAATGTATTTATTTTCTGCCAGAATAGGCCACCACTTCTGAGGGGATAATGCAGAAACCGATAGTTTTGGGAAGGCCAAATCTAGGGAAGTCCTTGTTAAAATGAGATCTTTAAAATATGGTGCTTAAAATATGAACTGAACTGAATTTCCCCCTGTCCCTTATAGGTACACTGTGCCTATGTCCCAAGTCACTTTTTGCCGCATTAAAACTGGAGGCACACATTCCTCATCCACCCAATGAGGGTAACTCCAAAAGCAGGTTTTAACAAAAGCATTAGGTTAATGTGCACCTTGGGACCAAAGGAGTTTGCAAGGAACATAGCCAGTATTGTGCGATCTTTTCTGTGTTTAGACAATGGCAGATAACCTTCTGCAGGAGACCATTTACCAGCTGCAGAGAGACTGGGACTGGTGAGTGTGCACCCTTTCTGATGTGCTGTTATTGATCTGGGGATACAATATAAAGGTGGGTTCTAGACCTTTGAGCTGTGGAATTGGCCGCGCATAATACTGTTTGCAGGTGTGCCTGTCGCACAGATGCTCTAAATCCCTCTGTTGATACTCCAGTGGACTTATTTGTAACCCATCTATTTTGGCAGCTTCTCTCTTGCTGCTTCCTTCTGCTAGGGACAGTCCCTATTGGCTAGTTCCCGGTAAGTCACAAAATTTAATTTTGTGTTATGGGGTGATTGGGGGCTCTCAGTGACAACCAATTGTGTGCAGGGTGTGTGTTCAAACACCCTTAACTCTACCAGTTTAAGTCTAGCTTTAAAGACCAGCTGAATCAAAAGAACTTCAGAGACGTACACCCGAGCCATTCTCAAAATACAGGAATAATCCTGTGCTGTTCTCCTTAACATGAATTCCTGTGGGGGGAAAAGCACAGGGAGCCTTTCTAATGTTTTGAGGAAGGCAATTAGACTCTGGCCCATCACATGCAGAAATGAGTAGCCTGCATGGGGATTCACAACTGGGCCTTATTTATTTATTTTGAATATTTATTGAATTTCATAACAATTAATGATACAAATCTCATTCACCATGATATTTATAATTATTCTCCCTCCCCTCCTCTGGACTTCCCTCAACTCCCCCTCTGCTGAGTTATTTAGTTTTATCTATCATATCTTGCTTTTCTTACACAAAAATAAAATCTGCTATCATTTATCTGAAATATCTGTTACTGAAATGAACTTGTGAAAGTTTATTCAAATCCTGCCAGTGAATCCAGTCCATTCTGTTGTTTCTGCAAATAAACTATAAATGGTTCCCAGACTCTTTTGAAGTCTTTTTGTCCTTCTCTTGTAGATTGTTAGCTTAGCCAGTGTGGTGTAGCGGTTAAGAGCGGTAGATCCATAATCTGGTGAACCGGGTTCGCTTCCCTGCTCCTCCACATGCAGCTGCTGGGTGACCTTGGGCTAGTCACACTTCTCTGAAGTCTCTCAGCCCCACTCACCTCACAGAGTGTCTGTTGTGGGGGAGGAAGGGAAAGGAGAATGTTAGCCGCTTTGAGACTCCTTCGGGTAATGATAAAGCGGGATATCAAATCCAAATTCTTCTTCTTCTTCTTCTTCTTCTTCTTCTTCTTCTTCTTCTTCTTCTTCTTCTTCTTCGCTAACACAACTGGGCCTTATGATTTCAGCACATCTGGGTGCAAATCTGTTCATGGAAGCACTATGGATCAAAACTGCTTTCTCCACAGAGGAGGGAACGCTCCATTCTAAAGGGAATTTTGTCCTCTGCAGAAATCCCCAAGGGGCTCATTATAACTGCCAATTGGTGATTGAAGCAAAAGCCCCCCCCCTTGGAATTTTGACAGGTGTCAGTCATCTGGTGTCATGATGTCAGGTGATTGACAGGTGTTGTGGTCCCTCTCACCTCCAAGAGTTGGCCCATGGGAGGATGGGGAGGGAAGAGAAGAATCTGGCCCGACAGCTGGATCCAGTCCCCCCTGCCCCATATACACAATGAGGGATTCTGTATGCACACACACACACCTCCCGCAAAGGATTTCTGGGACTCCATTGTTTATGGATTTCCCACCCACCAAAATGCACAAGGAAACTCACTTAGACTGCAATACGTTACACACTACTTTCAGAGTAAGTCTAAATTGAACTTGTTTGGGATTAGAGGGCATGGAAGTGTCGTTTCACCCAAATCCTTGTGTCTTCTTTGG